TATTTGTAAGGAGACCCATCTTTCTCATCTGCTAAGTCCGTGCCAGTGTTAGAGGACTGCACCCATGAGAGTCTGCGCCAGTGTTGGGGGCCTGCAGTTTGCTTTCACTTCACAAAAATCGTCTAAGTTGGAAGAACTGTCCTCTGGTGCCTCTAAACTTCCCGCAGCAATGGCCCTGCCCATGCCTGCCCACTTTCTGCTCTAACACTCCAGAGGCAGGGGGCAGCTTTTGGACCTAGGAGGGTGTAAGTAACTTCCTCGCAGAGACTTTAGTCCACCTCTCTTGTCTCTGGACAAGTGCAGAGCAATGAGCAGAAGTGGGGAGGTGGGGAAGAGCCCTGCATGGCTTCCCCTCGCCCTGGAAGCCTCTGAAGATCTGTTTTAAACTGCAGTTCTATTGGAGGCAGCTACCATGTTTCCCTAGACTTCTCTTTTCCTGAGTGAAGGTTCATGTACATGCCCCCAAACCAGCCATGGTTGTGAGACCTACCTTCCCGTCTTCTGAAATATGAAACAAATAAAACACACCACCACATAAAGCACCTTTATACATATCACATCCAATGTGACTGGGTCTTCATAACCATCCTGAACGACTACTGGATTCTTTTACAAATGAAGAAATGGGCTTGGGGAGATGAGGTGTTTTGTCCATGGTCTCATCGCTGGCTTCAGTGGAGGTGAAACTTGGCCAAAGAGCTCCCATGTGCTTTACGGGAAAGTACAGAGTGACTCTATGACCACTAGAAATTGCAATGCTGAGTGCTGAATACAGCACTCCAGATGAGTCTGACCAGGCCCAAATAGAGCAACAAACCTGGCGCCCTTCCCGAAAGATGTCTGGGGTACTCTTGACCCATGGGGAGCACATCTTGCCTCCCCTTTTTTTATTATTATTATTATTTTTTAGAGACAGTCTTGCTCTGTTGCCCGGACTAGAGTGCGGTGGTGTGATCTCGGCTCACTGCAAGCTCCGCCTCCTAGGTTCATGCCATTCTCCTGCCTCAGCCTCCCGAGTAGCTGGGACTACAGGCGCCTGCCACCACGCCTGGCTTAATTTTTGTATTTTTAGTAGAGGCGGGTTTCACCGTGTTAGCCAGGATGGTCTCGATCTCCTGACCTCGTGATCCGCCCACCTTGGCCTCCCAAAGTGCTGGGATGACAGGCCCTCTTGCCCCCTTTTTGACAAGCGTTGCTATCAAGCCATGAGTCCTCACACTTAGACTCCAGTAGCTGGTTTTAGGGGGAACTGAGATGTGAAGACACACACCAGTCACTACTAGCATCTTGACAGACCTATGCCTCATTCATATCTACCAAGACGGGCTCCGTGCCCTTGATGGTACAGTCATTAAACACCGGAACGAACCCAGAACCCAGAACGCCCAGCATGAATCCTGCTGCCTCAGTGTCCTAAACTATAAATCAGCAAACCCATTTCATAAGGTTCTGCTATTAGGTGTAAAAATGCACAGTGTCTGATAGAGGAGGCGCTGAGTGGGCGTTGGCTCTAATTGTTACATTACTTGCCTGTGTCATCAGATCAGCTGATAAGCACACTTTTGGTATTCTTCCAAGTAATGAGAAAATTGTTGACCAAATCAGGGCAAAGGACACTACTCCCTCTAGGTTGACAAAAACACACGTATCAGCAGCCTTCTGTTACGTTGTTTGGCTGTTTTCAAGCTCAACAGTGACAAAAGGGCCAGGAGACCTGGGTGTAATTCCTGACTTCAGCATGTACCTGCCGTGGGGCTGCGGGTAAGTGATCCCTCCATGGTTTATGGGTCTCTTTGTGCCACAGGAATAACCAAAGTGCCTATCCTTTCGTGGAGGTAGTGTCTGGAAAGCACCTGGTAGATATTAATGGCTTCATAAATGTTACTCAGTATTACCGTAACACCCAGCTCTTATTCGCTCATCTTATTTAAAGGATATTTTCAGTGATCTTGTCAAAATGTTTTCTTAAATCAAAACACCACAGTACTGTTTCTACATTAGGCCTTTAAAAAAGAACTTACATGTTGGTTCCTAGGAGCTCGCTTTGGGGCCCCCGAGGGAACTGCCAGCTCCTGGAGGAGGGCCCATCTCACGTCTTGCAACACGGGCGTGTCCCCAGGGCTGCTGCCGAACCACACGGGTGCATGTCTTGGTCTGTCCTTGACATCCTTTATTTTCCCCACCAGGTCCCCAGATATCTCATGCTGCCCTGAGAATTATTTTGGAAAACAAATAGTGTACACTAAATAGCTTATTAGGTGCTAACGCTCTAAGGGGTAGCTGAATTTTTGGAGGTCCCAAAGAAGACTGAAAATTCAAAGGCAAGCATTTGAAACAGTGATTTTTTGGAGCCTGAGACACATATACAATTGAACAGAGGATTCGACCACCTTCCACCTCCCAAAATACCCCAAAATACAATCTGTATCCTGCTTCATCTACGCAGAAAAGCACCTCTTACATTGTGTTACCAGAATATTAGCAACTAACTTTTAAATGTATTTTTTTGTGAAACATGTATACAGTTAACATACTATGAGAAAATAACTTCTACTGCTATTCTGATAAAGTTCAATACATACTGACGTACGTGTTAGTTAATATTTTACTAGATCGGTAGACAAATAATGGCATGATTAATTATTTCTGAATGTCTGTGTGCCAGGATCTTTGGAGCCCAAATAAGAGCAAATGTAGGGTACATCACCAGAGGTAGAAGTTCAGGTCAAGTGAGGAAAAGGGCTGACGGCCGGCCAGTGACACACCCATGTGCAGGTACACGCTTTTTCTAAGTGCTGATCCATGAATCCACACTCCACTACTTTGGCCTATTCACAAAGCACTTAGCAAGTGCTATCAGAAAAGTAACACTTTGTGACAAGCCAAGTTTTGATTGCTGGAACAACAAGGACAACAAAAATGATTGACAGGAAAACCAAATCCATCATTACTAAGAACAAAGCAAACATGAAATGATCCTTTACATTACAGAAATCAATCTCAGAAAACCTCTTATTTTGGCCATTACTAGAGCTTTTCTCTTGCCTCAGAACTTTAGAAACTTGGAGACCTCTTTTCCTTTCCTTTCATTGACAAGTTAGAAATTAACCAGCTCTAAATAACTTCAAAACCAGTAGGCCTCATGCTCTGAGATAACGGGAAATATTTTCTTTATTTTGCTTTCATCCTCTTACTTCTATCTGTGTTTGACCACTCATCCTCCTTTTTTGAGTCTTCTCTAACGTCGTCTGAACACACGGATACGTCTACTGCATTTTCAGCTGTGCGCACCAACAGGCGGCGTGCTGCACAAAGAGGAGCAGCCCATGCAGGGCCCCTCCCTAGGTAGCATGGCCCTACCCAGAGACCCGTAAGCCTGACTTAGGGGAGGATCAGGATTACTTAGCAGCAAGACTGATACTGAAAGGAAAATCAAGAGAAAGGCAAACGTTGATTCAGAGAATTGGACAGACACTTTTCTCTGCCAAATACATGAAGTCTGCAATACCTTAAGTCACTACAGGACTTTGCTTTCAGATACATTCCAGTGACTTCATCAGAACTTGTTAGGAAATTAAACAGTGCTCTATCAGTGACAGTAGACTAGACTATGAATCCAAGTTAAGAGAAACGACTTAGCACACTCTGAATAATTTTTTCCTAATAACATAATTATTTCCTGCTCAAAAAGAAAGTGGTACTTAGCATGTCATGGAGAGGACAAACTGGCCCTGCAACCTTTAAAGGGCTATGAAAACCACCACCAGCATTTTAGGTGCAAATTATCATGCATAAAACGAACCGCTCAGCAAGTTTATCAGTACACAAGCATGCCTGCCGCCCAACACGACCATCACAGAGAGAGCCAAACGTGAATTTTAATAAGCCCTCTTTATAGTAGAATGATCAGCTGAGCAATTGTCATAAATCCGCAGAGCCGCAGCACCTAAGGTGGTAAAGAAAACAGCACTCACCTTAGTGTCCAGACATTAGTGAAGACACTGCCTACCTTTGTCAGGACAGACATCAGCAGATGGCCAGTCCACATTTGCCTCCTAGAAGAATTTCAGAATTGAGGTTGAGTTCAAATTCCCAAGTTAAAAAATGTAAGTTTCAGAATTTAAAAAATGAAGCCTACATGCTTTCAAACAGCAATGAAGTCGTCATGATGAGGATGTAAATCCACAGTAAAATGGGTGTTTATCTGATATACGGAAATGTGAAAGGAGGACACCTTAAGGACACAGCTGGGCTGCACCACAGTGAAGCTTGCTGTAGTGTTCAGCGGGCAAGGGGCACTCCCAGGGACGTAGTCTCCAGCATGACCAGACTCAGACCTGGCGCCAACTAGGAAGGCAGTGTGGTTTGGTAAAATGAATGTAAAGTAGAGCTATCTCAAATTATTTAAGGGCAACAGAATGTTCTCCTTCCTTTTTCCACGGCGAATTCTCCAGTTTCCGATGTCCCACACACCTACCAATGCCTACTTCCCAGGTACGGCTACTCAGGCACGCAACCTGGAGGTCCCTCTGTTTACGGCTTCTTAGCCTGGCCTGGGTAGGAAGGCAGGTGTTTGTTAGGACAAAGGGTTGTTTTAAGTTCACCTCTTTCCCTTACAGAAATTGGATGCAAATACCTGAGGGTAAGGAAGCAGAGAACGGTCTCCACTTTAATCCATGATCCCAAGCCATTTCCATGCTCCAATCCTGGCTGCCCCACTTTCTTTCCTCCTTTGTGTGTAAACATCATCACCTTTCCTAGGGCCGGTGGCCAAACCACTTGCTGGGCGGAGGTCCTGCAAGTCCCACTTCACCAGGTCTCCTGTCCGCTTCGGTTCTTTGGCTTCAGTCTTTGGATTAATTCTTCACCTTCGATACCGTGTTACGGGACTGATGATGTAAACAGGTTGCCTGACAGAAGCAGCAATGAAAGGGCTGTTTCTTCTAAAGTCCAGCATGCAATGATTTAGTCAATTCAAAAAGAATGGGGTAAAAGAAAAATTCCCATGTTTTCTTTTCACTGACTTTATTTGTGTTAGGTAGTTTTCACTCAGAATATCTATCAGTTCATTTTTCAGGTTTAGATATATGTATATGTATCTGTTCGTATGCATTAATTACTTAGAAACTTTATTTGGTATAACTTCACATTTTTGGTATATAGAAATTTTATTTTCTTAATGCAGCACAGTAGACATACAATCAATATTATTCCCTAGAATGTGCAATATATAAATTATTCACATTAAAAAATTAAGAACAGAAAGCCGCATATGCAGTAAATATTTAAAAATGTATATCTAACTTAGATTCTGTTTCTGACAATATACACTACTAGCTTTACAAATCTGAATGAATATGACATTTACACATTTGAATGAAGTACACGGATGGGTCCATTCCAGATGCTTGCTACACTATATGAATAATTTGCTCTTCACTTTGGTCATTGAGATTCCATGTGCTGAGGCATACAGTGGACCCGAAAGACACTTCCAGAAGTACATTTAGTACATTGGCATCTTAAGAATTTCTCTTCCTTTTATTCTCCTTTATAGTGAGGGGGCCTTTTCTCTTTAAAGGCAAGAAGACCTTCAAGTCTGTCTTTCGTTGGAATGGTCTAAAAAAACAAAATATTAAATATGTCAAAAATGTTAAAACAGCTGTAAAAGTTTATCAAGCACTATCTAAGAAAACTACTTAAAACCACATTCTAAAATTTTAAAATCTATCAGTCACTTGAACAATTCTCCTTATTATGTAACCAAACTCATCCTCCTTACTCCAAGTAGTTCTCTACCTCATTTTGCTCTTCTTTTTCTAGTTTCCTAACAAGGTGGAAGGTTATTATTGATTTAGATCTTTTCTCTAATATATGCATCTAATGCTATTTCTATCTAAGCACTGATTTCAATATATCCCACAAACTTTGAGAAGTTGTATTTTCATTTTAATTTAATTCAAAATATTTCATAATTCCTCAGGACATTTTTGACATACAACATTATTTAGAAAGGTGTTGTTTAATCACCCAATATTTTGGGCTTTTCTAGCAATCTTTCTTTTATTGATTTCTAGTTTAATTCCATTGTGGTCTGAAGAATACCTTGTATAATTTCTGGTTTTTATATTTAGTTAAGTTGTAATTTATGGCCAAATGTGCTTTTAAAATTTTTCTTTGGGCTCTGAGTCTATTTCTAAGACGTGCAGTTCACTTTCCTCATGGCATGTACTCATCAATGACAGGTGGTGATGTATATATACAGGCTGTGCACAGAGTCACACTCTAGATACTGCTCCTTTAAACAAGAGCTCATGCAGTTTCCAACTCTCAGGAAAGGTAGAACAAAACTTTTTTGCTATTTCAAATGCCCTAAAACAAAGTTCTATCTTTCAGAGAAAGATGAAAAAGGGAGAACATTTTTTTCCTCTACTGGGAGACCTACTAATTTGTATGCATTCATCCCTCAGTATCTGCAGGGGATTGGTTACAGGACCTCCTGCAGATGCCAAAATCTGCAGATACTCCAGTCCCTTATATATTAATAAAATGGTATATCATATTACCTATGCACATCCTCCTGTATACTTTAAATCATCTCTAGATTATTTATAATACGTAATATAATATAAATGGCATGTACACAGTTGTTACGTTGTTTAGGGAATAATGATAAGGAAAAAAGTCAGTACATGTTCAGTACAGATGCAATCATGCTTTTTTCTCCCCTGAATATTTTCAATTTATACTTGGTTGAATCCACAAATGCAAAACTTACAGATGAAAAGTGCCGGTCGTGTAAAAAATAAAACTATAATTTCATTAGTGAACTTTCAGTGGGCAGGAGAAAAGGCTCAGAAGTTCAGGAAAAGCCAAGGAGTCTCATCCCAGGTTGCGTGGGCCGGCACACGCTCGCCACCACTCTCCTCCACCTCTCTACACTGGAGTGGGAGACCAGAGCCATACGCGCAAAAGAAAGCATAAGCCTAGAGAGACAGCTCCTGCACACCCAGGACTGACTCAGTTACTCTAAGAGTTTTCCAGATTATACAGACAAGAGACATTCCTGTGGAACAGAATCAGTCACAGCAGCTGGTAACAAATAGCAAACACAACTAATTTCAACCCATTTGTATGATTTTGGAATGGGCACAAGGGTAATCTTGCTCAGTGAAATTCATTTGAATTATACAAAAGGTAAATACAATTTGTAAGGGTCATCCTCATTGAATCTGTGATTGTATTACATACCTGAGCATAACAAGCTTCTTCTATGGCTAACCCTGTTACTAAATCGACCTGAGAATAAAAACATAATCCATTTCAGCAGAAATAACTTTGTAAAACACGGTACAGTCAACAGAAATTCAAACTGAATAACCCTACCCCCAAAGCCCCCAATCCTTTGATACAGTTCAGCAGACAGAGTGTGACCAACATGAGACTCAGAACCAGGCTTCCTGGGTTCGTCCGGACTCCGTCACTTGGGAGCTGAGTTACTTGGGGAAGTTATTTAACCTCTCTGTGCTTCAAAGAGGCATGTCTGAACAGGGGCTAATTATAATGCTCACCCAATGCGAGAATTGTGAAGACTAAATGAGTTAATCCAGGTGAGGCCTTTATATTGCAACACACACACACACACACACACACACACACACACACACACTCACGATGCTTAGTACATAGTAAGGGCTATATAAGATATTTGCTATTAGTATTGTTACCATTATGTAAATATTTAAATAAACCAAATACTTTTGCAAATTTATGAAACTGTATTTACTGCTAATAAAGTCCATCTCTTTTTACTGCTATACAGCCCAGGAAGATATGGAGGTTACTCAGTCTGCAAGAAGGAAGCACTTTTCTTCAAAATACCCATAATTTAACCAAAATTTAACAACTGCCATGAAAAGTCCAATAAATGGGTATGTGCACCATCTCCTCCTCCCTGGCCTGGGACCTCCACTCTTTTGGAGTCATCTCCCTGGGGTACCCCCAGGACACACAATGGATTCACCTTGCATTGCGTGTGCCTCCCTGCAGAAGGCACACTGAGAAGCAAAGGTAGAGAGAGCTAGTTCTCCTTGGAATGTTTTACATAATATAATACCGATGCTAAAAATACACAGAATGCCCTGTCCCTCTGGTTTTCTATGAACTACTAGCCAATAAATCTGTCTACTAACTCGACGGCAAAAGTAATGAGCATGTCATAAGCTTCAGGGCACTGATAAAATTACTGAATTCTGTGCTTATGACACTGAATTAGCAATAACCATAAGAATGAAATAAATGACGTAGCTGCAAGGAACTTCAGTAGCTTTCAGTAATAGTAGCATTTAAACAACCATATTTTAGAACTTAAAAAAAAACGTGGAAGTCTAAACATGGTTCATTTAAATTAAATCTCCACTCTCCATTTCCAAAACAAACTCAAACATTAAGGAACCTACCTCCATCCCTTGATTAATTGCTAATTTTGCCACTCTCATTGCAACAGGTCCCTAAAATTCAAATTAAAGAAACAGACTTTAATTATTATTTATGCAAATTATGTCGTATATCTCAGTAAAATTCAGAATTCCCACCACTGGATCCATGGCACAGCCAGCAATGACTGTCAGACACTAGACGGAAAATTTTCTGAGCCTTGCAAGGCTATAATTAAAGAGCAACTGCAACAATTGCATCAGCACATTATTTAGATTCCACAATGTTCTGTTATGCTGCAAACTCCGGATCCTTAAAGGTGAGCAGGTAGTGCGTGTCCAGCTGTGAGCTTGCTGTTCTTCAGCAACACTTCCTAGAAGTTAAGTAGAGGAAGGAAAAGGAGGTAAGGTCTTCGCCTCAGTACCATACCAGTTAGGGGTTTTGACAGAAGCTTGGGCCGGGGATGAGGCTGTTGCTATTGATTAAGGTGAGGTTCTGATATCATCTCTTTCAGACACTGGCTCCCTATCTTTCCTCCGTTAGCCTTGATAACTAATAGTAATGATGGTGGATTAATCAAGAGTGTCCTCTAAGCAGTGCTCCCACAGCACAAATAAAATTGAAGTCTACATAAGTCTTTCAGGATGTAGGAGAGTCACTGAGGAATGAACTGGATATCTGCTGTGAGAAGGAAAATGTTACCTGTGTCTTGCAGAAGCCAAACTCTTACCAAGCTATCCTACCTCAGATGGAATTTCATTATGTGATCACATTTTAAAGTCCTAAATACTGTTTATGGGTGATGAATGTGAATCCAATGCTATATTTTGAACTGAATGCTCTTTTGAATTAAAACACAAGGTAGTCTCTAAACAACAAGCACAGCAAAGGACTCTTGGATGGTGACATGGATGAATGCATGAAAAGACATGTTTTCCTATCAAGGAGTTTCCATTATTAAATTTGACCTATCTAAATTTTCTTCCAAATCATGTTTACAAATCTTTTTCAAAGGCCACAATTTCCAAGGATATACTTGGTAGACAAGTATCTTATTGATAATTCTTCCCATTGTGATTTGCCTGTGTGGTAGACACCAATACCATTTTTTTTCATGATAATCAATCCATTTCATTAAACAGTGTGCTCCTCTAATTTTTCCATTTTCATCGTCAACTGACCAAGAAAAGGTGCTTGTCAAACTCCTAGAGATGCACACAAATCCCCATCCTTCCTGTGGAAATGCAGATGTGGACTCAGCGGGTCTGAGATGGGCCTGACATTCTGCACGTCTAACAAGCTGCCAGGAGATGCCCAGGCTGCTGGTCCACAGGCCACACTTTGGGAAGTAAGGTTTAGAAAACCGTGAGAAAAACAGGAAAATTCAAAATGCTATTAGAGACAGTGCTTGATTTAATGTTTCCCCCTTTAAAACATAAAACCAATGCCTTTTCTCCTTTACAAGCCTTTTTTTCTCAGATAAATGGAAGTAATATATCACCTAGAAACACTAATTTTACAGAAGCTTTCAGTTACCTGGAGGACTAATCATTTGGCAACAAAGTAACAAACATAAAAATAAAGATGATTCCACTCAAACTTCATTTGGTAACTTGTGCACATAATTTTGCAGTCACATATTTTCTGAAGTAACTCCACATCTGCTTATACATTTGACCTGGAGGAAAATTAATTTTAACAATCAACATTCTGAAGGAGTGTCCTTCAAATGAAAGGTGACAAAGGCACACGCGCAGGGACTGTGATGACGGCTGGGTGACCACACAGTGGGATGCGGCTCGACACACTGGGAGTGGAAGGAGGGAGCAGAGGGGAGGACGCTGCTCACGTTCTCAGGCGGGGCGGTGTGTGGATGGTGGTGGCATTTGCTGCATGGTGGTCACAGGAGCATCATGGGAGAGACAGCAAGTCAGGCCCTAAGGGGATAATAAGCTGCCTATAGGGAGCTCTGAAGCAGAGAACTGAACGTCCATGTCAAGAGGCCAGGAGCAGGCTCTGCAGATTATCAGAACTGGAATTCCGCCATAACCTTTCTTAAACATACCCCTTTCAACTGAGATATGTTTTGGTCATAAAGTTTTAAGCCAAGCTAAGTTATAACACCAATATTCAGTCAAATTATTACTCTCCTGATACTTGTACCTTTAATTTCTCTTTAGGTAGAGATTTCTCTATATCTGGGGAGAATAAATAAGTTTGTAGTGAGAATCTTTTCTTTTTAAGGCAAAAATCTTTTTTTATTTGCTTTCTATCAATCCAACAAATACACATTGAGCATCTACTGAATGTATGGCTCTGCATTACCTTACATGGGGAATAAACTATGTAACGGTCCTTCCCTAAAAGAGCTAACAGCTCCTAAGTTAATTAAGAAGGACCAGAGCGTCAATGCCAGGCAGTGTGGTTTTAAAAACTGATTCAGCAGGTGCATACCAGCAGAGTGGGGCCTGGTTTGTCAGCAAAGGCTCCTGTGCTGAGTGCCAAGAATACTTTCTGAAACTGGATGCAAGACTCTGAACAAATGTGAACATTCATGCATTTTTTAAAAGATTCAAATGCATGAATTTGGAATCTCATGGCATTCCCAAAAAGATCCACAGCTCACAAAAAGGTTATGAATTCTGTTTGAGTCAAGCAACCCTGAGTTAGAGAGAAAAACTATTTTGACTCCAGAAATGGTTAGGGGGTTATAAAACTTCAAATTCCACAGGAATAAAGAAAGATCACTACTGCTTACACCACAAAAGAAGACCCTTTCTCTCAATTTAAAGCCCTTTAATCTTGTGATTTCAGACCAAAGGCATATTTGAAAAATATATCTGAATGGGTGACAAAAAGCTTAAAAGAGGACTGTCAGTGCACGGCGACTGATACCACTCCGGAGTCAGCCATACGCGTTGTGTTCTAGATTTTGAAAGTGTACTTGTGGGAAAGCACAACAGAGTGAAAACGATGCCTACACCACCATAAGCACACACACACACAAAGACAAACAACTACTGCTTTTCAAGCAGGCTCTTCAGTTTTCAAGTGAAGCCACTGCAATGAAAGTCCACTGTGGCACAACAGACTATGGTATCTTACTAGAAAACAGCATATTTCAATGTATTTTGACTTGAGGTGGCCCAGTGTGACAGCCAGCCCTATCACTCTTTCTCTCCATGGCTACGGCTTCCGTTAGAGCGTTCAGCTGGTGAGCACATTAAAACACCTGGCTAGGAAGTTGTGCACACGTGACAAATGTTGTCAAGGGATATTTTATCAAAGTATGGCTACGAGAAGACCCTTGGAGCATCTTTAAAGCCTCATCGGAATTCCACAGGATCGTAGTGTTTATCTCGTGTAACCGCTCTAGTTTTACACAGCCCATGCACCCCTTTACTTGGAAGCAGGCCAGGGACTTCTTTGGTAGGCAAGGTGACTGCTGTTTTAGTCAAAGTGTTATAAAATTTCCTAAAATGAGAAAAAATACACTCTAATGAGAAATACCTGAGGTAAAAACTCTCTGGCCAGGTCCAGGGCCTTTCTGTAGGCAGCATCTCCCTCTTGGTTCTGTTCTAGAACGTGGCTGATTAAGCCCACTGCTTTGGCTTCTTGGCCATCGAGGACTCGCGCCGAGAATATGAGCTCCTTGGCCAGGGACATTCCAATGGCACGCGGCAATCGCTGTGTTCCCCCTGAGGGGTGAAGGAGAGAGAAAAGGCAATGATTTGATACCTGTTAGTTTTAACACTTCAGTGTTTCGTATCTTCATTTATAAAAATAAACCAGGGCCAGAAGTTTATATATTAAAATTAGTAGCTGGAAAACTACTTCCGAACAGAATCTAATTTCTTAATTCCCTTATAAAACTAGTAACACCAAAAAAGGACTTGAGAACCTTACACCCTTATTAAGTGATTTTGGCACTATCACCTGCAACCTCTCTGACATACTCTGAGTCCAATCCACAGTCATCACCACGTCAGTAACCATCAGGTGAACAGCAGTGGACAGGCAGTGCCACCCAGTAAGTCCACCGACTAGAAAGGCAGAGTTCCACCAAGCTTGGCATTCTTCTTTCAGCTTAAATAAATCTTAACACATTGTGAGACATTCAACTCATTTTTTTTTTTTTAAGAATCCTTTATGGTAAATATACTGTAAACAATTTTAATTTAGAAATAAAACCAGACAATGACTCATGAAAACAGGCTTTGTCCTGCTGGTAGTTTTTTTCTCAGTGCAAGTTCTGGTCATCTCTGTTAGCTCTTCTCTCAGAGATGCTCTCTCACATAAACACACCCTTTTCCAGTTGGTGAGGAAAATCCACTGTGTGTGGAGTCAGAAGCCATGCATTTAGTTTTGACGTTGCCACTTACCACTTTAGGGACTTCAGGAGTTGATTAACTCTTCAACTCCAAGGGAACACAGTGGGTATATTAGTATGATTTAGGGTAAACCTAGGTCAAAACAGTTCTGCAACAAAAGATGCCTATTTTGCTGAAGATGGCCTAACTCACTAGATCCATGTAAGTATTCACTACAGTATCTTCCAGTGATGAGGATGGGATCTCATTAAACACAAAGCTGAGCAAAAGCAGGTAACACAGGTCTAGCCTCAATGTCTACCAAGAAGAATATGAAAACAGCTTCAACATCAGTGTTCACCTAAATCTCACCTATCAACGGCTGTGCCAGGAAGCAGAGGAGCAGCGGACTGCCCCCTTGCAGAGCAGGAAAAGCAAACTGATGCCCGCCATCTACACAAGCTCACTCACTGGACTTCACCTGGCCTACAAAATTCAAAACTTTTCTTTCTGCATTAGTTAGCAACATTTAAAACTAGATGAGCGATTTTATCTAAAAAACCAACTTCCACCTGTATCAACTGCAGCTGTGCCTTTTAGACACAACATTTTTTCATGTGCCAGTGTCCACCACCCTCCATTACTGCAATGCTCCAGAAAGCGTTACTCCAGTACTTTTCCTTTAAAGGAAAGCAAAATCGTTTCTTGTTCACATCTCTATGAAAAGTGGAAAAAAATTAAAGACCACAAGAAGGCACACGTTTAATAAAGTATGACTCAGTTGGAAGAACAGAGCTTAAGATGCCATTATTAAGCAAACCATATTAAGAACCATAACCAATATTTAGAAAACAGGTAACATTTAGAAAAAGAAACTCTGAATGAATTGCAAAAGGACTCATATTTTCAATACAGATTGTTTTCAAACAAATACAATATGCCACTGCAAAATGCAGTTATTACATGTTTAAGCTACCCAAGTAGTTAGAGATGGTGAGTTTATACAGGTGCTTACTCGATACAGAAGAAAATATGTGTCTGAAGACAATGAAGCATTGACAAATTTAAATTTAACTTTCGACAATGATGTTGCTCAGTGTAGTAAAGATAGGTCTGAGAACTTATGGTATAAGCTGCAGGGAAAAGACAAGCTATTTATGGTGCTTCCAATGGCAGCTGATTAGAACACAGATATAAATATAACTCAGATAACTATATTTACTCATGGAGCTGACGAGAATTTTGATGAGACTGAAGAACTTAACGAATATATATTATTCATGATAAGCGTATTAGGAAATGGTTTTTTCTTGTTCTACGAAAAGTCTAATGTAGACTGGTCAAAATTAACAAATGTGACCCACATTGTTAATGTCACACTTTGTATTCAACATAAACATTTTCCAAGTCCCTGAAGCTCACACTCGTTCATCATGTTGTTCCATTTATAGTATGATTCTGAGGTATGAGGATTTTTGCAGAAACTTAACAGAGTAACGGTCATGTAGGTGGTAACTAACACTATGAAAAAGACCCAGTCCCTTAAGCTGAGGTGCAGACAGCTGGATGCTTTGTTTCCTAAGCTGGATGCACAACACAACAGATGGCTGGCGGGCCTGCCATGGAGGCTAGAGGTATGGTGCAGAAGAGAGCTACCTTTCTGACTCACTGAAACCGATGCATCACAGGAACCAGGCGAAAACCCTCAGCGTGGCTCACCCTCTAACACTGCATCCAGGACTTGACCTTTTCGGATGACATCACAAGCCATCTACTTTATTGCCTCATATAAATGGAATCATTCAGTATTTGTCTTTTTGTGATTCAGCTGTTCACTTAGCATAATGTCCTCAAGATTCACCTCTGTGGCAGCATGTGTCAGAAATCCATTCCTTTTTAAGGCTGAATAACATTCCTTTGTACATATATACCACACTTTGCTTACCCATTCATCCCTGGAAGGATACCTGGGTTGCTTTACCTTTTGGCTATTGTGAATAATGCTGCTATGAACATGGATATACAAATACCTCTTCAAGATCCTGCTTTCAATTCTGCTTTCAATATACACAGACTGGGACTGCTGGATCATACAGTAATTCTAGTTTAACTTTTTGAGAAATCACCATAATGTTTTCCATGGTCACCAAACCATTTTACATTCCTACCAACAGAGAACAAGAATTCCAATTTCTCTACACCCTCACCAACACTTACTTTTTTTTTTTTATAGTAGCCATCCTAATGGGTGCGCAGTAGCATTTTGAAACCCACCCAATAGTCCCATAGACAGTTCTTTTTGGATAAACAAAGAAATTGACCCTTCTGCTGTTAAAGCTTGAAACTTGCATCTGTTTTGAGTTTCTTCCCCAGAGAAGGACCTTCAGGCCTTTCAAAGAAAAGTATCAAAGAACCAAAACTCAGCAGATCACCACACCAGATGACTCCCTGCCCCTCCCTAGCTCTTGTTTTCTTACACATTGTTACATTTCTTCCCTGCTATAAAAACCCCTAGTTTTAGTGGGTTAGGGAGATGCATTTGAGGCTGAGCTTCCATCTCAGCAGCAGCAGCCAATTAAAGCCTTCTTCCTTGGCAGTACTTGTCGTGACAGTGATGGGCTTTCGGTGCGGTGAGCAGGAGATCTAGACCAAACCCCTGGTGTTTTGGTAACAATTTCACTGTGAGTAGTGATGCTTTTCCCTAATGACTAGTGACAAACAGCAAGTTTTCATCTGCTTATTGGCCATCCATATATCGTCTTTGGAGAAATGTCTATTTAAAGTTCTTTGCCTATTTTTAATTTGCGTCTTGAGTTGTTTCATTTGTTGAGTTATAGGAGTTCTTTATACATTCTGGATATTAATCCTTTATCAGATACAGACTTGCAAATATTTTCTCCCATCCCATGGGTTGCCTTTTCACTCTGTTGATAGTGTCTGATGCATAAAAGTCTTTTAATTTTGGTCCAATTTACCTCTTTTTTTCTCTTGTTGCCTGTGTTACCAGTGTCATATCCAAGAAATGATTGCCAAATCCAATGTTATAAAGCTTTTTCTTTATGCTTTCTTCTAAGAGTTGTATACTTTTAGTTCTTATGCTACAGTCTTTGATCAGTTTTGTATTAATTTTTGCATAGGGTATAAAGTATTCCCGACACCACTTCTTGAAAGGGACGTTCTTAAATGATTATACAAATACATGATTTCATTCACTCATTCCCACTGAAATTTTAACTTGTAGAACATGTTTGGCAAGAAATTATCTCGGTTTGCAGAAATCTAAGACTGATGGCCTGAATTATATATATTTTTACATGTGCGGAACTGAAAGTAAACTGTCCCCTCCACCCCTCAGGCATACAAAATTCATGATTTCAAATTTTATAAAAATGATATAATCTGTTCAGTTTACCTTTCTCAATTACTAAAAATACCATGAGCAAAGAACTTTACAAATGGAAGTTACAATGCAATATTGGACAACTAAACATGATTGATATGGAATCTAAGATTTTTACAAATATCTCAGGAATAGTTACCCCAAATGGCAAAACTTTTTATGCCCACATTCTTTTCCAGCTTGAAAGTACTTAAATTTACTAACAGGCATCTTCTATAATTAAACTAAATGAAACTCAGTACTCTTGCTGGTTAAGGAAGTCAAGTAGGACAGAAAAACATCCCAATCCAAAAGACGAGATGTGCCACTGAAATCTTGGTGCAATTATAGCTCAATGTAGCATCCACCTCCTAGGCTCAAATGATCCTCCTGCCTCAGCCTCCCTAGTTAGCACGCCATGCCTGGCATCAGACTGCAAGCTCCAAATGTAAAGAAGAGAACTAGAAAAAAAATTACTTCAATTCACCTTTTCTTAATTCTGAATATCAAACTCTAATATTAACTCAGAGTTAGGTAAAAGTGAAGACAGTGTATCCTATTTCTGTCAGTTGATTGTTTACACCAGGCTTGCTTCATTAGATTAGATCATATAATCTGCTAGTTCCCTTAGGCATCTGAATTCAGGATTCCTAAACAGTCTTGGTAACTGATGAAATTAAGCAGTGGAATTAAAAAATAGGATTGTCCTTCGTGAAATTATAATTGTTTCAGTCTGACAAGCAGCCCTAATGCATTCAAGGTGACAGAGGTCTATAAAACTATTCAAACTCACACTGTCCATCCCAACAGCTTCCAACACAGAGCCCTGACTCCTGGTCAGGATCTGCTCTGAGGCTCCCTGGGCTAGAGCCATATACTCAGGGATTACGACATCAGCAAGTAACACATTCCCAGGACACTCCTGCAGGTACTCCATGGTACTACTGGGTATGAGGAGAAATATGAAGCTAAACTGAGAATTCCAGGATAGCTCACAAGGCTTCCACTA